AGCCTCATTATGGGAATCATCAGAAGTCTTCTGTGTTGCATTTTAGTAAGCAGATCGTCACAAACAAAAATTAACACTTGTCCACTATTCAATTTTGTTATAATTTACTCTAACTGTACAGATCTAAATATGAAGAAGATTCTAGACAAAAAAATAGCAAGGCAAACTAGGAAAAAAGATAGATTTTGAATCATAGCTTTTTCTTTCAGATCCTAGTGTATTCTTTAGTGCCTTTAGTTTTTTGCTTGAAAATAAAGTTTATTTCTCATATAAATAACTACTTTTTTGAATTTCCATGTTAACACAGGTACATCAGAATAGTAATAGAATGGTGCAGAAGTTTGAATGAAAGGAAAGAGATGGCTGAATATACTTCACACTCTGTAACTGAAGAAAATTGGTATTCATCTTTATCCCAGATAATTGACTATAAATAATGTTGCAAACAAAACTCAAAAATATTATAAGCTTTTAATTTTATATCTTGCATTTTCTAATGGTCAAAAATGAAAATTTATTTTAAAAGTCCATTTATTTTGTATATGGTTTCATATTTTTCATTCAGTGTTTAAAATGTTCAGTGAGTTTCAGGTGAAGGTTGTTTCATTGAGCTTTGGCTGTCTTACTTAAAAATCAGAATTATGGTGTCTTTGTCAAAGGACAATTAATGTTACAAAAATAGTGTCTTGCAGTGAAAAGAAAAGATACCAGACTAAGAAAGATGGCTTTTAATGGAACACTAAGCAGTCCAAAACAGTACTTTGAACTGCCTAATGACACTTGTATCTCTTTGCTGACATATTTGTCCTTTTTAATACATGCTACTGACCAAAAATCTACTGCCATCATCCGCACACATATTGAGATATTAAAAATGTGTTAATTGAAATAAATTACAGTTGCACTTGTTACTTGAATTAAAGCAGATTCAGCTGATACATTTTATAGCTGATAAGCTGATGAAATGAAAATTCTATCTATATTTATACATACAGCAAAGAGACTATTCTTAGGGCAGAGACCCAATTTTAGAAACACAAGTGATTGGCAAATGTCAGCTATTGAATACTGGTATCAAAGACAGAGAAATTCTTTTTTTTTTCCACTTGGATTTTGCTGATCTAATTCTTAGTATTGCTAGAAACTGTTAAAAATTGAAATCTGAAGTAGAAAATATCCTTGAGAACCTTTTATGATACTGAATCATTTAACAAACTTTATTTTCTTGGACAGGTCTGCTGATGCTGAGCTTGAAAAAATACAGAGATTTAACTGTATCCTTTCAAAAGCTGTAAAGATTTTTTTCACTTTTATATTCTGCTGTTTATCTGCATGTTCAAATATGTACTTTAGATCATCAAAGGTTCTCTATCCTAATCTTACCTTCTATTACTGTCTCACTTCTTAGAACAACCTCATTTTTGTGCTTATCTGTTTTGTTTTAACACTTATTTTGTGGTAAAGATAAGGAAAAGAAAAACAAACAAAAACCACAAAAACAGTGTCAAAGTACAAAACTAAAATGAAAAGGCACCAGAAAACAAAGCCCTTTAATGTGTATTGCAGCAGTTTTGCTAAGAGTCATCTGCTGATCTGTTCTTGAAAGAGGAACAACACAGTTCCCTTTGGGTATCTTTCTGTTTATCAGTTACCTTAGTATTGTTCTACCTCAGTGTTGTGTTGAGCCAGCTCAAAACGTGCACTGTGCTGAATCTGTTTAAAGCCACTCTATGATTGTCTTTAAGCCAGTGCTCAATTCTATTAGTATGAAAAGTGCAGGCTTTAACACCTGTTTTCTTTTCAAAGTAACTTTTGGATAAATTGAAGTCTAAAGGACATTTTTCTATAAATGTTGTAGATGTTTCAAGTAATAGTCTTTTTCTTTTTTTAGCTGTATGTAATTACCATGCTACAAAATGTGAGACTTGGCAAGGCAGAATGATGAATATAAATGCAGAGACTAATTTTTCTTTTTAGGAGGAAGAATCTGAAACTTTTTCTTAACAAAGTAACGCTAGTTTTATTAGACAGTAGCAACATTCTGAAAAGGACATCTGCTGCAAAATCCAATCCATCTGGTATTGCTGTCAGAAAAAAAGAAAACAGGGTTGAGACGGAAGAACTCAGTGAAGGTTACGTCTTGGAGGCTTTGGAAAAAACTTCTAAAGTCATTCAGGATATTGAACGCCTGCTTGCTGCTTCTGGGAAGTGAAGCCCCCAGGCACATGATGCCCTGTATTCCATGTCCTCATAGAAGCTGTCCCAGCTGTGTCTGGGGAGACTCTGAGGGGAGAGAGGAATGAAGGCTGAAGCAGAGGGACAAGTTGCCAGCATATTTCTGGGGAAGTCTGTCAGGTGCTAGTGCAATATCAATAATAACACCAGTGCTATGTTTGGTATAGGAAAAGAGAACAGTTGAGATAATGGAGCACTGCTGTATGAATAGGTCAGGCCTGGCCTGACAGTGTTGCTTTTAATGTATGAATATACGTTTGAATAAATTTGATTAATGGATCACTGCTGAAATGACCAGCAGAGACACGGGAAGTTTTCAGTGTAAAAACGTGCTTTTATTCAGATGTTTCCACCAAGAAGTCTTAATACCGAATAAAATGTTTCCCAAATGCTTTCTATAGTGCTTTCTTTGAGTAAATAAGTACTAATTTCAGGGCAGAAGACACTTCTCTGCTCTGTGGCATGTCAGTAGTGCACTATGTCCTTAGTAACAACACTAAGCTCTCATAATTTATGTTAGAAACATAAAAATATTACATTATCATAACTGAGTTGCCCCCAGCACTTAAAGGAGCCAAAACGTGAACTCCCAAATCCTTTATTTAATAATCCTGGAAACATCTTTCCCTCACAACCAAGCCCCGCTGGCCGCGCGGGGCGGGGACGGGAGGAGACGAGGCGGGTCCTGGTCCCAGCCTGCTCCGCGGCCACGCATGCTTCCTAACCGGCTCCTGGAGGCGCTTGCAAGCCCGCTGCCTGAGGCTTCCCAGCCAGCTCCGGCCGGGATCGGGGTGGCTGAGCCCCATGGGGTGAAGGGCGGATGGCGGNCGGGCGGGGCGGGCGGCGGCGGCTCCCGCGCCCCTCACCCCGCCGAGGGCCCGCGCCTCCCCTCACGCTCCTGCTGATCTCGGGTTTCTAGGTTAATTTCCTACTGGGTTTAATTTAGTGTGCTCTTCAGCGTCGTGGTAAAATCCTACCTCTTCCTTCTGGGCTTTTGCCCTCTCCAACCTCAGAAATGCGTTATAATTATCTGGCCCAAAAGTATTTGGTAGATCACCACAATAATGGATTGTAATTATCTTGCCCAAAAGCATTTGCGTGATCACTCCAATAATGTGTTACAATTATCTGACCCAAAAATGCTGGCACTGACAGTTTTTCTGGGATAGTTTTGGGCTGGTATCTCCTTTTCCACAGGATTGTACGATAAAGGCTTGAACTGGTTCAAGCCTTTAATTCTGCTTCATACAGTTTTCAAAATAAATTAACATCCAATATCATATAATGAGGAGTTTAGGAGATTATAGAATTGTAAAGGATCACAGTCTTTTAACTTCTTGTGTAGACTGCATAATAATATTACTTGGCAGGGTGTTGTTCCATTGTAGATTGGACTTAATGATCTCAGATGTCTTGCCCAACCTAATTGATTCTGTAACTTCATGCATTAAATTCCTATATGTATTCACATATCTGATAGCGTCATGCAAAACTAGGGCAAAAATTACACAGAGCAATATATCTGAGTGGTAATTTTAGCCATTGTATTTTTTTTGCTTGTACACCATGGCCTCTTATTGTCAACTATTTTCCCATAAATGTATTTACAGTTTTTGATCTAAATATCTTCTTCTTCAGTAATTTAAAATGTTAACTGTGTGTTCATAAAAATTACTTTGGTAATTTCCTTAAATTAAATTAAGCATATCTGCAAAATTCAATTTTGGCACTACAGAGACTATGCTTAGTGCTTTATCTCATGTAAAAATGTCATGGGAAACCACAGCTCAAAGCTGGGTTACTCTGTCAGAGCTGTTTTGTTTTATGTAAAACCTAACTAGAATTTCCTTCAGGATGTGAGGTGGGCTGACACAGAAGTTTTGAAGCAGTCTTTTGTGAATTATTCCCCACTTTTCTGTTTTAACAATAATGCAAGCTACACAACTGCTTTCTGAGGTTTATGTGCTGGAAAAATTGACGCTTTATTATGATATTTTGTAAAGAGCCTGAAAAACATCATTTTTCAGGGACAAAAAATGTTCTAGTTTTACATTAAAATTTATAATTTCAGAGATTATTTTGGTTGCCCAGAGTTTTGCTTTTTCTGGTCTGATTTCCTTCTTGATATGCAGAATATTTCTGGGAAATTCTGTTGTACTTGGGAACGTGAGTTGATTTTTACACAGGCAGCACTCATTTTTGTCTCAAAAAGAGGCTGAAATGAACAGTTTAAAAAGAACAGTAGGACATGGCTCTTGACTTGACCTGAAGCCAGTTTTGCATCCTGTTCTTCATTCTGGTGCAAAGAACACCTGCCAACATTACCCATAACAAAAGTGTAAGCCTAACACAGAACTGACACAGACCTCTCTTCCTGTATTAATTTCTAGATCTCTCTTCATCTCTTCCAAGGTCACTAAGTGATGGGGTGGAATTTAAAAAGAGATCCCTGAGTGGGACTCATAAATGTTTCATCAGGTGGGAATCTTCCAGGCACAAGAAGAAATCTGTAAAAATTGATTGCGCTATCCATTGAAATGCAATTATGTAGAAGACTGGAACTGTTCTTTTTGGACTTTGTGTTTTATTATCTTTTAGTTGCTATAATGTTCTATTTTTATTTCTGCTCTTCTCTTGTTTTATGGTCTTTTTTCTGCTTTCTTTTATAGCGCTTCAAAGCTTAGCTGAAGTTGCTTTTAGCTCAATTACATTTTTTTACAAATCAATTAAATATATGTTTATTCTTTCTGGATTTTTTTACTGTTCATATTTCATGTATGCTGTTTTGCCTAATATCAGTGCTTACTGGCGCCTGGTTTGTTTTTATTTAGGATGGGACAAATGGTGATTGGTATTTCCTGCACTGGACTGGGCAGACTGGATTCAGAAAGCACAGAGGCTCAACACTGAGGCATAGACCACAGACATCTCCTACTGGAGTAAGGCACCTGTGATGGAAAAAAAAATGTTCTCCTAGTCCCAGGGGAAGTTTGATTCTGAATACTGGTGTGCTTTTTAAAGGTATCTTGCTACATCACCTCTTCACAGATTGGATTCTTACACAGCTTTTATGGTAATTTTAAGTGAATTCCAATCTGACGTGATGGCCATATAGAAGATACATTTGTAAGGAGACTGCCATTTTTTTCTTTAAAGTGGAATTTATTCAGCAATGTCCTGTGTGCCATAAGGTCACTCACCAGAAAACAGCACTTCCATTGTTTCAGGAAATACCTTGTGTCTACATATTCATTCAGAAGAGGCACAGTCATGGTTAACAGACTAAACTTGACCCATTTTTCATCTCTGTGCAAAGTCCATGTATTATTCATGCTTTCTTCTCTTTTACTTTTTAAAATGTTTTCTAAATAAATTATTTAGTAGGCTTTTTCTTTTCCTACAGAAATGCCAGGAGTTCTGTCTTGTGAATAATTCTACAACAGGCATGTAAATAATCAGGAAGAAACATTTATATTTTGTGAGATTTACATATGTTTGAAATTACGAATTGTTCTGTTTCAGTTTAGGAATTCAAATGTCTTATATGTCTGATAATGTCTCTTTTCAAACCAAGACATACACTTAAAAAGGCCCTTCACAATAAGAATTTACCTAAAGAGGGGTTGTCAAGATTTAATGTATTGCACAAAAATGGCAAACCCATGGGAAGAATCCATTTTTTGGTAGGATATAGGCTTTAAAACTGTGGTCTGTCCCTACAGCTCCCCAAAAAGACTAGCATAGCAGCTGGGACAGTTAGAACTTCTCTTGCAAAAAGAGGAGTTATGTAGGTAATGTGGCAGACAATAGGTAAGTCCTAAAAGTAACAGCCAACTTCTCTGATGGAACACATGCTGAGGAAAAGCTTAGGTAGTTTTGCTCTGTAAGGAGGTGTTTTGATTACTTTGCTTGACTAAATGGTTGTTGACTTTGTGTTTATTATAAATAGTGAAGATATTTTAGTGGGTTTGGTTTTCATAAGGTTTATTCTACGTTTAAGTCTCCAAACTAATCAAAGCATTGCTCAGGAAAGGGTACGAGGGGAATACTACACGTGTTAGCAAAGAATGTAAATTAAAGCAGCGGTTTGGATTACAGATTGAAAACTCAGTTTTAACAGTTGTTGTATAGAGAAATCTGGGATTTTGAGCATCAGTCCTAAGAGTCCTCCAAACTGAATCTTCTTTTGTTATTATAGTGTAAAGTATTTCATTGGATTAAATAATATATTTAAGATCAGAAGGAATCTTCAAACATATTCAGTGTATTATCATAGATATGTTTCAAGTTATTTTGTAATATCTAACATTTCAGTAAGTGGAATTAGAGCTCTCAATGTTACTTGTGCTGGTTCTAATTAAAACAGGGCAGGTATTTTAATTCAGAGCTGTAGTGTTTAAGCCAATAAACTAACTGAAATTAAAAATTCCCTGTGAAGGCTTAATGCAAACACTGAATTTGGGGTCTTAATGCCCAGTTGTAGCTGTGTTAACAACTGTTTTGTGCAAATGGATTTTCTTTATTTAATAGTTTTCTTTCTGATCTCTGACATTTACAGAACAACTGACGATACAAAGGACAATGCACAGTGTGTATCCTGATGACATTTTGTGTGCTACAACATGGTTTTTGTCATGGCATCTGAGACTGAAAAGGCCCATGCTCTTCTTCAGACTTTCAGCACAGCGTCAGTTATTTCCAGTCTAGGTTTGGGGATATTCTGCTTTGTAGCAGACAGACTTCTGCAGTTTTCCTTCATTCAGCAAAATGACTGGCTCCGAGCCTTATCTGATAATGCAGTGCATGGTATACTGGGGATGTGGTCCTGGGCAATAGTGATTGGACTCAGGAAGAAAAGTGACCTCACTGAGATCACCCTGGCTGGCTTCCTTGCCTCTATCATTGATGTGGACCACTTCTTTCTTGCTGGATCTCTGTCATTAAAGGTAAGTCAATAGATCAGTAATTTGTTAATTTATCACTATTTATGTTATTGTTCTTCTATCATGTCCTATACAAAAAAAGTTCCATTGATAATTTAATTGAATACATTTAATAGATATACAGGAATTATATTTTATATTTATTATGATTTTAAAAGGCATAAAAATATTTTACATCTACTGTTCAGTTTCTGCTACTTCCTACTTTGTGCTTCCTTCCTATGAGAAGGAAAAAAAGAGAGTTTTGCACATGTATGTGCTATTCTACATGTGTCACATAGTTGCTTTGTTACCCAGCTTAAGGAGTTAAATGCTGTCTTGCACACTTTTGTGGATGAAGTGGATTATTCTGCTTGTCTTTACCATAAGGGTTAGAAATATCTGAAATGTGGGGTAGAAATATATGAAACTTTGATGATAGAGCTTCTGTGTAATTTAATTCAGTCCTTATGAGTAGTACATTGGATTTACCCAGCCCTGAATATTTCTCCCACGAATAAGCTATATGTGAACTGTCACCTTTAAAAAGGCAGTCTAAGTTGCATTTAAATATAGTTCATTCAAAAATAAAATTTAAAAAAAAAAACAAAACCAAAAAATAGTAGGAAAGCTTATTAATAAATCAGTTTATTAATAAAAGTAAAAATTTGAATTGGCTCCTGTTAAGCAGTGAATAGATCATCATTTATTTGCAAAACTGCTTGTTAGGACTGAGTTTCTCAATAGGATTTTGCTACCAGACTATTGCACTCTTTTCCAGTAGTTTTCCTCCTCTAGTTTGCTCATAATGCTATTACCCTGTTCATAAGGTAATAGTGGGAAGGGGAAGGAAAGGAAAGGAAATCCTTTATATTCATGTAAGTAAAGAAGAAAAATGGTTTACCAATTTTTAAAAAATATTTAGGCTACAGCTAAGTGCAAGAGGCAAATATTGCTTATAGCTGAGATGTAAGAATCAGACTTACAATGGAAAAATAGGCTTTGTTGACATACAGTATCACTATTTTTGTAGAGAAAAGATGCCTTTTATTTGTGCATTTGATCAGTTTTCCCCTCTTGGCTTTACCAGTGCTGAGGAAAAAGGAAACAATTGGGTTCCTCAAGCAGCTGGCCACATTCCCAGTGCAGCCCAGGATACCACTAACCACCATTTTGTCACATGGACAGTCAGACTCCAGCATGTCCTGGTGCTTGGCATCATTCTTTCCTAAACAGTCCCTAGTTCTCCCCTTCTGTGTACTTCTTGCATGTGGAAATGCAATGTAAAGAGAAGGAAAGTTAGCTTGGTTGATAAATGGTATAAAATTCATATAAAATTATTACTGCATGCAATATGGAATAGAATTTAAATCTCTAATTATTCTCATCTGTTTTTTCTTATTTTAAAATCAGTGAATGCAAGTAAATGAATGGCTAGCTGTTAGAAAGTATTAAAATTGTATTGCTCTTTTTTCATGCATTTTAGATGATTACCAGTATTTTTCTTATTTACAAACACTAGATGTCCCACTTCACCAAAGTCTGAGAAGCTGACTGTTGAATTGTGTCATGGAATTAGGAGGTGACCTGCCACTTGGCAGTGAGGCAAGGTTAAATACACCTTCCATGATGGGGAACATTTGTGTAGCCTGGCATATCCCTACTGTGTGAAACCAAGTCAAGTTTTGTAATTTTGTGACTTAATTTCTTCCTTATGTGGTTTCAGTTCCCAAGCAGATTGCAGATCACTTACTAATCCAGCCTGAAGTATTGTTGGTGACAGTTAGATCCAGTTCTCTTTAAGTTCGGGGTTTTTTTGCCAAAGACAGCTGATTTCTTTGCTCCCCCCCAAAAATGTTTTTCAAATCAGGAACACAAAACTTAGCAGATAGAGTCATAGCCCTTTTATGTAGCTGAGGTAAGGAGAAGACAACATAACCAAAGGCTTTTACAGACTGATTTGCCTACCAGCTCCTTTCCTTTCCATATGTTAACTGTGCTAATAAAGGAAATAATCCAGTGTAGGTCTTCTGACTCCTAGAGCAAAATCATTACAACTTGTAAAGCCAGTATTCTTTCCAAAGACTCTCTTCTCAACTAAATAACTTTAAGAAAAAAATCTTAAAGGAATAAATTTATGTTTTCTAAACCTCATACAATTTTTCTCCTCTCCTCTGTATCACTTTTTTTGCCTTTTACCTCTAAAGGGTCCTGTCCACAACTGTGAGTAGCATTTTAAGTAAGACTTCATTTGAGCCAAATGCTGTAATTTAATGCCTTTCAATGGCACAAAAATACAATGCTTCTTTCCTTTAAAAAAAAATAATAATCTGTTGCAGGTTTTGTCTTCTTGCAGTGCCATCAGAGTCCCTTTGGTTTGTGATGTAACATAATGCCCATTACTTTGCTTCTGTCTGGCCAGCTAGATCTGATTGTAATATGTAATTTTTCTTTCTTGGGGTTTAATATGATGTGCCTCTCAGTTTCTTGGCACAATTTCATGCAGTTGCGTTTGTAATTTATTACTTCATGGGATATTGTTTTACTATGTGTTTTTTAGATACTTTTTAACTACATATCTGGTAGCTACAGTCCCATTCTTCATCTTTAAATTGCATGGTTGAGAGTAACTGCTTTAAGAGACTAACATGTTTACTGCTGTTGCAACACATTACTAAATAACAAATTAAAAAGTCTAATTAACGAACCACACCACTATTAGTAATTTGTACCAATAGTATATTTCACTGTACACAATCACATATAAGGCTCGTCATCATCACTTCTAAATCTGATGATGAGTTCCTTTTTATGTGGTAACCTTTTTTTTTTATGTGGTAACCAGTACTGCCTTCTACCTCCAATTGCTGCCTTCACACTACTCTGCTTCTGTTCCTGCTGATGCCACTCAGCACTTGGATTCTTTGGCCATTGGTCTGTTTTTCGTGGTCATCATTATTTTTCTGCAGTATTCAGGGTAAATAGTCACCTGTGGTATTTATATGTTTGCTCTGATAAATACTTGTGTACCAAGTACCATGTGATCTGACCTTTTGCCCACATTGTTTTTGCAACAAGTATGAAGTCTACAATTACTTCACTACTTGGAATTTGTAGTTCTTTGTGTTCCATGTGGTTTTTACTGTGCACACAAGTATAGAAGAACCTGTCTCACTGACTAGTCCAAAGGTGGTCGTTTCTGCAGTGTGTCTTCAGTCAGGAGTGCTGGCATGACATAATGGACTATTCTCAGACTCCACCAGGACCATAGACACACAAACATGAAGAAATTGCTGTCTTGCTGCTAAAGACTCACCAAATTCTAGAAGTAGAACATGCAGTTGGTGACAAACATACGTAACACTGCTGGGAAATGTGTCACCCGTGACTGACCAGGGCTGTACAGGAGCATTTCTGGAACTGGAGAATAAGCTTTGCACAAGCACAATTTCTATATAGAATATGTTACTATGTTGTTAATATATTTCTTGTTAATATATTAATATTAATATATATTACTATAATATATGTTACGCTGAGTATGTTGCTACAGACTAAAGACGTCAGGCTTGTGAAGCAGTGTAGAATACCAGGAAGGGAGCATCTGTTGTTACATAATATCTATGGTGTCGCCATGAGCAGTAAAGTAGATAATTTGCATGGGTTCTCCTGCATGCAATTACTGTCTCCTGTCTCCAGCTGCTCATTGTAGTGAGAGAGGCTGGAGGAGAAACAACTGCAAGATGATCTGGTTGAACATGTAGGCAAATGGAAAAGGTCATTTGCAAATAAATCCTGTTTGCAAAATTTTTCAGGACGTTTAAGACAGAAAAGGCTTGTTTTTATGTTTTTTTGCAGGAGTTTGTTGTTGTTTGATTTATTGGGGTTTTGTTAGGTTTTGTTGTTTTGTTTTTGTTTTTTAAGATCTGCTTTCTAAAGGCAAACAAATTTTTTGATTGTTTCTCCTATTAGGAGAAAGAGTATAGCAGCTTATATTAGCAAAAAGAACTACCTGTCTCCACGGCTTGGCAACTCAAGAATGTAGGTGTTCCTTTTAGTTGCAGAATGTAAAAGAGGAAACAGACTGTTCTTCTCTCAGACCTTGGGCAGCAGCATATCAGAAGCTTGATGGCTGTCCTGTAGTTAGAGAACAGGACTTTCTCTTGCTCAAATTGAACATATAGGTTTGCTACATCAACTATATTGCTATAACAACCCTGCCATCTGAAATTTATATGAAAAGAATTTAAGCATCACCTTGGCATCAATACCGATAAACTGGGTACATTAGTAACATTAAAATTTTCCTTACTCACTGTTTCTCTGTTGGCACCTTACCTTAATCAGCCAGAGAGAAGACTAATTTAGACTTTGCTACTGGTTTTTTTTCAAAGTGCAGAAATAGAGGCCAGTCAACAGATTATCTGCCAAAACATATCACTATGCAGTTTTTTTTCAAAATTAGATTAGTATGTACTTTTGAGGCTCCTGTTGACAGTAACAAAAATCTGACTCTTTGAAAGGCAGATGATAAACAATTTCACCATCACAAGATTTTTTCCACTTTAATTTGTGAAAAATCTGCTTGTGTGAAACAGAGCTGAAATTGAAGAAAATAAACCTTTTGCTCCAACTTAAAGGAATTGGGTCCACAACATTAGAGTTAAGAATTGTTGCGACAGTTTGTGAGTTTTTACCTGATCCCATTACCTGATCAGGAGAGTCACAGACAAGCATGTGATGGGAAGCTAAAAGAGCAAAGCTTTCTGCAGGCCTTTTCATGTTGGCTGTGGTTTAAAGTGTGAGCTGTTACATTTCAAGGTAGTCTATAGCTTCCCATCTCTGTATTAACTGGCTAAGGCTACATCAAAGTTTCCTTGCAGAGAGGATAGTGTTCCATGCAGTAATCTAAATTATGCATGAGCTTGATGAACCTGTGCCAGAGTCTCAGTGCGAGGTCCTCTTGCTGTTGAATCCTGCAAGGATTGGGACAACTGAAGAATGAACAGGTTAGCCTTTGTCTGCCTTCTGCAGGAGGTGCGGTGGGGGATGTGTTTCAACATAGTAAAGATATGCTGTCATGTTACATCTCTGGTGCTTTGCTACAGGTTTTCTGAGTGCTCACCAGTATCTAAATTAAGCCAATGAAAATCACATCAGCTCTTCCATAGACCTCTTAGTAATGTGCTGTTGTTTCTCCTGTGCTTACAGACACCAGAATCTACTTATTTGTTGAATACAAATTCAAAATGCCATTATGGTTTTTTATTATGTTTAAGTTTGTGGTGGTGGTTGTAACTGTTGCTAGTGAGTACCTACAGAGTATCTTCTAAAACATGTATATTAAATTGACATTATCATTTCTTAAAATGGCTGACTTTCACTGGCTAGACATTCACCTTATTAAAACCAAATATCAGGCTTTTAACTGAGTTACTGTTAAGTTGTTGATATTGTTGATACAAATGCTTCAGAGCTTGGCTTATGAACTTTGTTTTGCCTGTCCATGAAGAATACTGTGTCGAGGTGCTCAAAATACATGTAACTTTGATCATATTTTTGTCCCATTGAAAATTATCCTTCTGTTTTAAACAAGGCACAACTGAACCAACTTTCCATGTAACAACTGTAGTAAAATACAGGATGTATTTTTGGAAGTAAATGCCATTAAAGCACATGATTTATTTCAAGTAAAACATTAAATATTTCAAGTGTATTGCATGGTTGTTTTCCTTTTAATTATCTTGAAATTAAATACATATAATCAGTGCAGCAGATTATACAAGTTCCTGTGTACCACATAACTGTGTGACAAATAGGATTCCTCATCGCTCTCCCTCCCTGTTTTGTTGATGATAGTACTTAGTAGGATGCATGATTCATATCATACAATAGAGAGACAGGGCAGCACACAGCTCTCATGCATAAAATTAAATTAATTGTAATGGAAAGGAACAGTATGTTTTTCTTTCTGCTTCCACTTAGTCACCTGACAGTACACCTGCAGACACTCATGAAACTTTTTTTCTCTTGTCACCATTGTTGTAGCCATTGACAATAATATTTTCCTCTTCTGCAGGCTGCTCTGACTCTTCCACGGAGACCACTTCTTCATTGTTCTACTGTGATTCCTGTGGTGGCTCTGACATTAAAGTTTATCATGCAACTTTTCAGGCTTAAGGACTCATGGTGCTTTCTTCCCTGGATGTTGTTCATATCCTGGACTTCTCATCATGTCCGTGATGGGATTCGTCATGGCCTCTGGATCTGCCCATTTGGAAAAACTCCTCCCTTGCCGTATTGGCTGTATGTGGCAATTACAGCATCTTTACCTCATCTATGTTCATTTATTATGTATTTAACGGGCACTAGAGAATTAATGTCTATAAAACATGGAATTCGCATTGATGTATAGGAATAATGGCTTTTGAAAGTGGTTTGTGGTAGCACTTGAAATAACCTGTCTGTCTGTCACTGAAGGGTTTCCTTATGTTTGCTGCACCTTCTGAGTTAGTAATTTTAAGGTTGTGGAGCCAATTACAGCTCTTGTGTCAATTCCTTGTGGTCATAGAACCTATTTAAGGAATGATAATAATTTTATATCTGTACATTTCCCTTGTACAGTGTGTGGTCTTCCATGATAGTTCATGCATAGCGAGCTGATTATAAAGTACTTAGTTCCTCTCTGTAGTAATTACATTACATTTTACTGTCATGGTAAAGTACTTTCTATTACTGCCATTCATCTGATCGGTATTCACTTTGGATTTGTATTCTGCCTTCGGAGAATACATTTCATCCAGATAGTATCTGTATAGCACTTTAAAATTGTGAAGTTCTATATAAATGCTAGGTATTACTGAAGATTTAACAGTGTATGGCACTTCTAAAAAATCACTCAGTTAGCCTTTTGAATTTATTTATATGTTAGGAGGCTGGCTGGACTTTCGTATTCAACCATTTGAAAAGAAATACTGCCTGTATTTCACACTGTCTATCCACACCTCTTTGAACTTGTAATCACAGAGTGTTTTACTAAATTCTATATCCCCGTGTAGTTGCTTAGTACTAAATTTGCAGATATTACTAGCTTCAAAATTAGAATGGTGTAGACAGTTTGGTTGTAGTATTATGATGTGCTGGCCAAATTGTTTAATTTTGAAAAATACACTAATTATGAATACTATTTAATTTGAACCAGGGAATTTTAGTAAATATTTAAGAATTGTGTGAAGTTTCAGGGAGACACAAGAAAATAAAAACTGCTTATAACACAAGTTTGCTTAAAGACACTACTACTCAGTAAAGCATTTTCCATTAAGTGCAATATCATCCTCATAATTGTAAAATAAAATGCATTATTATTGTTATTAATATTATTATCATCATACTGAAATAGAAATTTCCTCATAAAAAAAGTTCCATAAGGAAAAGTATTATTATGCTGCAGTTTATGAGGTAGTAATTTGCACTATGGACTATTCAGTTTTCATTTATAGACATCTCTCAGAGTCCCAAATTAAAACTTGTCTGGTCTTGTCTAACTAGACAAGACTGTCTGGATTTGTGTAGTTTATGATGAACAAGCTGAGAATGTCTATTAATAATTTTTAAATTTTTTATTCTCCACCCATTGAAGAGATGGGGCCTTAACTACTCCAGCTTGTGATGAATAGCTGTCAAAGGGGATCATTTTTATGGAACAGCATGTATTAGGTAGCATGTGCTTAACTTAGGTTACCAATGGGTGTAAGCAATGGGTTTAAGCAATGTGTAAATTTACGTTATTAAATGTAATAGAATAAAGTTTAAAAAAAATTATTAAGTAGTATGTCTGTCTTAATGAGTACCAGAAACTTTCTGTAGCTGCAGAATACTTAAGGCTCTTTGCAGCACTCTGCTAATCACGGAAAGCATTACACCTCTTTAAAATGTCTTTGCAGCAGAAGAATAGTCCCTGTCATGTCTGTTCTTCATGTTAGGAATGTATGCCAATGCAAATTTGGTAGTTTGTACAATAGTGCAGTGGGCCTGTCTATCCTTTATTATAAAATGAATAAAAGGTTTCTTTCTTGGAAAGAAGATTGGAAGAACAAAACATTCCTTAGAGGGTTATCCTCATGCTGTGAATTTCTGTCTTTTGGAGTTTTCCAGAGACAGCATAAGAAATGTCTTGCTTTAGAGCCCTCAGATCAAAACTGTCTTTTATCCAAAGCATAAAGGTTTACTAGAGGAGCATTGCTTATTCATTCACTTCTATCCTATATTTTAAACTACAGGCTATGAAATGCCAATAATGAATAAATTTTGTGCAAGGGGTGAACACTGAAACCTGTGTAGAAAATTTTCTGTATTCTTGTTTCATGGTATAATACTTGCATAATTTTGTGCTTTATCCAGATCTTTTGCAAAGGGAAATGTATATAGGAACAAAGTGTAGAATTACACTTTCTCACTTTTAGACTGTAGCTGTAGTGTTTCTGGTAACTGTATGTCTGCCTCCAGTCCTTAAGATCAGTACTGTACCATTCTAGCTATGTTTAAGGATCAGTGCATCTTCAGTAGTTTAAAACTACATATTTTAATTCTCTTTATTTCTAGATATTTCTGTGGGAGCTTTTACAGTTGCTTGGAGCTGTATTTTGAAACTGTTTTCTGGCCGTGTTCTTACACCAGTTCTACCACAGCAATAGGTTAACCCCTCTCAGATACATATTAAGGAAAGTAGCAAGTACTTTTTACCATGACTTCTTTCCCTCCAGACAGACATGGCAGTCTCACACCTTAACCTGACATTTAGGCAGCTTTAGCTGAGGCCATCGGCAGCTTTTCAAGGTAAACTGACACTTGGCATGTACTGCTATAATTTGTGGGTAGCCAGAGTAGGGTACAAAGGGGAAGTTAGATGTTTGTTTCAGCCGGTTTGTCGTGGGCAGAATGGGAGCTACAGTGATTATAGAGAAGACCTCCCGTTGGGTTACAAGGCACAGACAGGACCCTCTTGCTTTCTAAACTTCTAACAGAGGCCTCTGGGTGGAGCTGGACCCATCCTTAGCCCCTCACTCAGTCAATGGTTTATGTTAATGGATTAAATAGCCGTTATTGAAGCTTTTCACAGCTTTGTCCCACAGGATTTAGGTTGACAAACTAGAGATATTTATATAAATTACTTATTATGATAATGATGAGACTAAAAGATCTTAATCAGAATTATTTACTACGTAGTATAAGTAGCTGTAACTACTAGTCTAGTTCAGTCCACTATTTTTGAAGTAATACTGAAGCAATTTTATTAAAGGTAGCAAAAGAAATTATGAAGCAGAGATTGATTTTACTAACCCTTACCAACAACTGTGGGCAAATCTCACCTGGATGCTGGTATCACTTTTTACTACAGTGCAGTATGTATTATACCATGTGCCCTTAATAATTGGACAGTGAATTATTCATAATTGATCCCACGTCTCAAAGAAAATGATGCTAAGTTTAAATTAAACTGGAATAATTTTTACAGCAGTCCACTTATTATGAGAAGAACATTTCCTTTGCTAATGGAAATAAAGTTCCAGAAAGAGAGAGAAGAGATTAAAATTCAGTCTGATGGAAATGTTAGTACATAGTTAATTTTGGACACATTTGTTTTTATTCCATCAGTGTCAGTATGAAGCTGAGTGATGAAATGCATCAGAAGAGTACATGTCTGTTTGAGGAATTGAGCTAATCTAAATTCTGTCAATTATGCAAATTTATTCAGGGCAGAAGAAATTTTGTATTCTCAGCGTGAGATACACCATGAGCTTTCATCAGCTGGTAATTTTGAGCCCAAAAACTAGGCTTTGTTTCCCTGCTACAGGCAGACCTTGCATTGTAGAAAAGGAAGAGCTGTCAAGTTGAAGTTTGTATTCATTACAAAAAAAAACAGTAGTAATGCTTTTCTTCAAAATGATAAGTTGGTGCCTTCAGTTCTTTCTTAAAATTTCCCGAATTTTACACCCTCTGCAATGAATTTTTGAATTTATATTTGCAAATTTTATATTTGAATGCTGTATTGTAGAACTGTTTCCTGTTTTTTAAGCCCCCTATTGAAGTTAAATGGTACTTTTATTGTCTATATATACATATACATATATGTGTGTGTGTGTGTGTGTGTGTATCACACCCTGATCTTTCTTTGTATGTTCATACAATAATTTTGCATTTGTTTAGCTAATTTTGTATTGATTTTTCCTGGAGTGAAGTGTTTTTCTCAGTGACTGGAGAAAACCAGGCATGCTGCAACTTAGCAGAAACATTTTAGTGCAAGGAAATCTTCAGAATATTGAAAACAATAAAAGAGATTATACTGTCCTTTTATGGAAGCATTCATTAGGTTCCTAGGCAGTTTTTAAAAACAGATTTGTTTAATCAAAACTAATAAAAACTGAAAACATTTGTGTTAGCAAATATGAGTGAACAATCTGCATGAAATTGGATTTGTATAATTAAACTGTTGCAGGGATAATCAGCCAAGTTGCTGTTGCTATATTCACCACAGAAACAACTCCTTTGGTCTAGGAATGTTAGTAATATCTCTGGAGCTTTCCTCATGTTGCCAAGGGAATTCAGTCTTTGATCTCAATTTCCCTTTAAAAGGTACATTGAGCAAGGGCTCCTTGCCTGAGGTGGGGTAATTTCCTTAAACTAACTGTCCAATTATTCACAGCAGTTTTTACAGATGAGCCAAAGAAGCTCAGTACAGTAACTGTGCAAAAGAAATTAAGTCAATTTATGTCCAAGTGGACATAATATTGGCATAAGGAATTTAGAAGGTAGAATGCTTGCTGATTGAATTGCTGATGATCAAAACTACCTCATTTTTATGTATTACTGCCAGTAATTCGAAAGCAAAGTTTGTGGTGACTGCTCTAAAAATCTGAGGTGCTTCTGGGCCAAATGAATACTGTAAGATTCGAGTAGTAAGGCTTTGTGAATGTATTTCCAGCAAAAGCATCGGTGTCATCTTGTTCATTTAGCTGTACATATGTAGGTACACACACTCATTTCCTGGTCTTATTGTGGAAACATGCTTGTGGCTTGGGGAGTTTTGGTACAAAATGCTCTAGCTAGCATAGCCCTTTAACACAAGTAATTTTTGTTTCATTAGTCCACATAGAGATAGATCATCCCTTCTATTTGATACATTTTCTTAAGGTGGAAGTTTGAGTGCTTTGCCAGCATCTTTTGTGTGAGTGTTCTGTATGCTTGTGCAACATAAATTAGCAAAGCAGAGGCACACAGAACTTCATACTATAAAAATATGTGCACATGATTTATTCGTAATTTATTAATTAATTTTTAATTTTTTTGTAATTTAATTTTAATTTTTCGCCATGGTAAGAAATAATTCCACGTTTTAGCATCATGCATATTGCATTTAAATATCTATATAAATGTTGACTAAATAGTATTTCTAGCAATTTTATATGGCTGCAGATACTCTTAGAATTTCATGTGCTCTCCTGGTGCTTGACTTAACTCAGTTTGGATGATAAGCATGATCCTGCTGCCTCAGTGTACCAGATTTCTCACCTGGGTGTAGCAAATGTAAGTGGTAGATACCTGTCTAGAAGTAAACAACTATAGAGAACCTTTCTATTCAGTGTGTGATTTCTCAGTCCATTCAGTGGTGTTTAAAATGTGATTCATCTCTTCCTGAGAGAGATGTATGCTTCTGGTGTACTGAATTGCATTCCAGTCATCACAGATTGTTCTAACTAGATGGTACACAACTGTAATTGGGATTGTAGATTGGGCTTGTCTTCCTACCCTTCACATGATTTCCCCTTGCTGGAGAAGGAAACTATCTCTTTAAGGACTATTTTATCCAGGGGTTCTTTGATGTGTAACATAATAATGTAAACATAAAAAAGTGAGACAACTAGAGACATTTCTCAAGAGGCACTGATGCTATAGCTGCTTCTAGATTGGCATATTTCAGTAAAGGGATAACAAGGTTTTTAAAATTATTTTAACTTTTAAAATGCAGATTAGGCATTTATTGTAAAATTAGACAATTTTGTCAAAATCTGTCCAAACACAGGAGTTTCTCTGAAAGATTTCACAATTTCAGTGAGAATATTTATCATGGCAGAAGTTTTCAGTGCTAAATATTTGCTTCAGTTTACTATATGTTCTAAATTCAGTATATTGGGACTTAAGAACATGAAATCTGTTTAGAGTTTCTACCTTTTTCTCCCTTGAAACTTGACACAGAAGAGGCTCTGTTTAAGTTTCCTAAAGTAGAGCTTGTATTAGGTAGTCTAGCTTGCTAGTCTCTGTAGTAATATAGAAAAGCTGACCACCTGATACTGTCATGATAAATGTTTATTGCAGCTAGAAGCCCCTGCTGCTGCTCTGCAGACACCAGGGAGGTGTGAGCAGTGTTTGCTGCTGCTGTCTGCAGACTCAGCGCGAAGAAGGAGTGCTGCAGTGTTAGTTAAGGGAAACCATGGCTTGAGTATGTGCTCTATGGGGCTCCATGCTTCAGTGGTTTCCGTGAGTGTTAAAACCTGCTTCTGTTACAAAGCAAATCATGAGTTTCAAAAAGAGAGGGATTTTCCCCAATGAATTTCAGCCACTGAAAGTCTTTTTGAATGATCAAATTTCTTGAAAACTCATTTCAGATAAGAAAACCAGTTTGTCAGTGACTTGATTTACAAGTATGTTCCTGCTGTCTGTTGCAAAGTGAGGAATGTTGGCACATTTCTGTAGCTCTCTGTTCCCTGGATTAGCTTTGCAAGTAAAGGACATGTTTTCTTAGTCACCAAGTCTGAGCATTTCCCCTCTTTTTAGTGAACAGATAGAAGGCTTTGGAAGTGTTGAGGACAACATTTTTTTCCCTTTGGTACATATTCACAAGCATTCACCTGTCACAGTTATGAAGGGTATTCAACAGAAGATGGAGAATGCTTCAGACCAGGCATGCACTGAATACTGAATCAGGATGTGTCCAAACTGCTTACATAACATACTCTAGGTGAATCTCCTCTGCAAGAAAGTAAATGACAGTGTGAAAAGTCTATTGGGAAACAAAGTGTTGAAGACAGAATTGTTTTGCTCAGGCTTTTTATTTCACCCAGTTGTTCTACCTCCCTGCCTTGCAGGACTGGCTTTTGAGTGAGTTTGTTCTCATTGCCACACAGTGTGTGCATACACTAAGCTTATTTGAGAGGGGAAGGGTTTCAAATGCACAGGTGAAGGTGAGTTACCTGATGGTAGCAGAATACTCTGTTCCTCATGTGGTGCTAGACCACCCCCAAGAGTGGGTGGGGGAAGCACCAGTCAAAAGGATTGGTATTGATTGAAGGTAGAGAACACATTATTTTCCTGGCTCTGGTGATATTTCAGGGAACCTGGCAGGAGTTGTTTTACTGCAGGAGAGAGAAGCTTTGCGTTTCAGATGAGATTACGTACTCACATAATTACATCTACAGAGGCAATAAACACTGATGTTCTCAGTGTAATGAGAACAGCTTCTACTGAAACTTTCCAAGTATGTGCTACATCTAGACTAGCAAAAAAAAAGAGGAAAAAAAAAAGGAAAAAAGGCAATGGAATACTTTGCATTGGAGATGTTGTTTCAAAGCACTCACATCCTGCCATGTTTACAAAGGGTGTTTGCTGTTTCTTCTTCCTTTCTCTCACAAAGTTGTATTTCCCAAAACATATATATATCCCAAACCATATTTACCAGCCTTTAGCTGCTTCACATAAAAGGACAAAACATGTAGAGTTACATACAGAAGGAAATTTGGTTTACCAATGTTATGAAGGCTTTTCACTAGGCTTTCAAAATCAAAACAGTTGAGCAGAGGTGTTATGGAGCATACAGAAAATACATTTCAGTGCTATTGAATGTTTTATTCCTTCATACTTTATCAAAATAAAACTTCACTGCCACTTGTCTGCTTTCCTTCAGTAGTCCTGAAGTTTCCTTCATAGCTAGTCCTTTCTTTGCTCCATCTCCATGAGTTTCCTGGTGGTAGTATTTCATGTTTGTCTCCAATGTGCTTTGTAAGAATTACCCAATCTCACTAGATCCCTAATTAGTTTACAGGAGGTAAAAATGCTTATTGTCTAATATGAAGAAATGGGGTAGCTGAGCCAATATGTGTGTCCAAAGGTAAGTGGTATTAGAGAGTAAATGAGATTAAACAAAAAATTTACTTGCCCAACTTCAAGTGGCTGATATTACCTAAAAGTGCAGATTTATAGCTGTGTATGTTCATGAATCAAATTAACTCTGCTATATCTGTGTAGTCTCTATCTGCTGGCTTTGAGATGAGCTTGTTTTGCTATGGTAGTTTCATGATGTAACCTTTACTGTAAAAGAGGAATATTTGGTGACCACATTTTTTAAGAAGAATTCAAAAGAAAAGCAGGCCAAATCCAGCAACCAAAGACCTTCTGGTATTAATGAGCAATAACTGTAGAGTGTATTATCTCATATTATTAATAACATCCTTATTAGTAATTTATTTGTCTGGGTTAGTGCAGGGAGGTTTCAGTTACTCGTGTTAGACATTGTTTAACAATAAGACAATCTGTGCTCAAGTAGTCTTACAATGTAAATAGTTTGGTTTATATCATGTAGGTAACATTTAACTGTAAAAATATGAAAATGGAAGAAGTGATTGTAATCTTGTTTAAGTTCAAGTAACAGACTTTATAAATGTAAACTAAAACTAATGAATGCAGATGAGTAGTTTTTTTCTCAAACTGTTGACATTCCCTGCATCCCAGGCGCTTGTGAAATTCATGCTTCTGGTATTCCAAAAAGAGAGTGGCCAGGAATACTCCCACATTTTTTGTGCTTTTTCTTTAAATGAGTGTTTAAAGAAAATTCTTAAGTATGTTTTCCTGAGACAATGACTTAATGTAGAATCATGGGGAGGACCTATATCCAATTTATGCATCATTTTACTGTTCAAAAATTTACTCTTTCTGTGTCCTGTTGTTGGTAGAGTCTGGCCTCCTTTAAAAGCATGCCAAATCTGATTTTTTTCTAAGTGAGATGGTAGAGATTAACCCAACTGCAGTCCTGTCTACTATGTTTCATCATAACACATGATGGAATTGTATGCTGAAATTATTTTGTTCCATTCTGTGGAAAAAAAATGAACCAAAAAAAAATTAAAGTAGCATGGGGAGGAAGCTGTTTTGGATGACTGCTCCTTGCATGGTGAGTTTCCCCACTTGGCCCAAGTTACCTGACAGCCCCAGAGACAGAATGGGCATTGATAGAAATTTATGCAAAGACACAGAGTGAAAACACTTTTACAGTGAGCCACAAGGCCTGTTCAGGAAAGAAAGATCCTTCATTATTGTCACCATCACATTTCTTAGCCTCAGCTGTAGAAAGCATGAAAGAAGTCTTGGCTCACAATGGTCTTAAATGAACTGTGAATTCAGCTCTAAACAAAAAACCAAATAGGCTGTGTGAGACTGGCAAGTGCAGCATAGCCTCAGAGGCCTCAGAGCTGTGAGGAGATGACTGCCTGTTACCTGGCAGACCTGAGGTCATCTGAAGTTGTATAAAAGCCTCAGTGCTAACTAAATAACAAACATGTAATATGAGGACATGATGGCTTATAAGACAAAATTTAATTTCCTGGTATAAACAAGGGCTGCAAGAGATCATAGTTCAGGGTTGGTAATGACTTCACAAGCTACTGTCAGAGTCAGTGAATTTGGGTCAGGAAAAGAGCTATAATCACATTTGTTCCCTGCAAGGCTGGTGCAAGGCTGCTGTTCCCCACGCGTTGCTGCAGTGCGCTGCACGTGCCCCGCACACACTCGTGTTGGTATAACCTTGTCTGCGGTCATGTTTGCGCTCGTCCTGCGTAAGCCTCTCTGACCGTAAACGTGTTCAGACAAACTGTAAGACCAGAACATTTCTGTGTTTGTTTATGTTGGTAGAAAACAGCACCAAACTTTTTTAAAAACTTGACTTTATGCATTTCCATTTGTCACTTTTTGTTATCATCCTCTGCATATAATGTTGGGTTTTAAAAGATAGGGAGATCAGAATAGACGTTCAGGGTACATCTTGAACAGAAAGACAACTTCAAGTTTTCTAGGACTCAGGAGAAGCAGAACATCCTGCTGATCCAGACCACTGACCTGGTCAGGTACTGCCGCTGTAGGGCATGAGCTTTCACATGTTTGTGAAACACGTGGACCTTCTGTCCATCCCCAGTTTTGGTTTTTGCCTTTTGGAATCAAAAGCACAGACTCAGTTCCTCATTCAAAAAGTCAGTTAAGGCCTAGGACAAAAAAAAAAAAAAACATCCAAAATTTAGAAGTACCTGGTCTTTGGAACTCAGCATTGTCATGACAAAAGGCAAAGTCTCTTGGCAGGTAGAATTGGAAAGAGGCTGTGTGGACTGATGCAAATGTCATGTTTTTTATTTGGTTTGAAGAACAACTCAGCTATGCAGTCAAGAAGATACATTTAAAACAATAAGGAAGCATGCAGAATTACTGGTCTTTGTTCTATTCAAAACCACAATTCTCAGTGTATTTATTTCCTGCTTGTGCATCTCAGTGTCAGTTTTCTCCTGAGTCAATCAGCTGTGGAAAATATCTGCCATTCTTTCTCTTCAGCACCTACCTTGTGGTCCTCTAAATTATGGTTTGTTTGTTTGTTTGTTTGTTTTAGTTTTGTTTTTGGTTTTTTTAGTAGAGAATGAGAAGGGAAGGGTCTTCAGTTTGTCCTTTTGTTTACTGCCTCAATAAATTAGGTCATTCCTCTAATGCTGCCTGATAGTGTGTCAGCCTTAGATGGGGTTATACTTTGGCTATCTCAAATGATGGGAACATGCTATTAGGAGCCAAGATTTTTAATTCACCAGCAATAATGTATTCTTTGGCAGTCTTGAAGTAAGTTTTTGAGGTGAATCCTGGGGCTCTGCTCAGCACTGACTTCCCAGAATGGTTCACCATCTGCAACATGATGCTAATAGGGAATTCTATCACATGGTACCCCTTGTTTCTTCAGTAATTGTTTTCTGGGTGTCTGCCTCTCTGGTCTGCAATATTTTCATGGCCACCTTCTCTTTAGTTTCATTCCTTCAGAGAGGGACAGAATCACAAATCTTCTTTCAGCATCAGTTTTCTCACAGTTCTCACTTCAGAGAGATTTTCACTCCTCTTTTGAATGCCAGTCATCCCCTCTTCTCTATTAGCACCTGTGCCATGGAATTCTCTCCTCCTCCTGTGGTAGGGGCTTCCTTTGTCCTGTTTCCATTGGTGATGATTATTGGTGCCACAGGAAGAGCTTAAATGCGTACAGCCACCTCCAGGTAAAAAGCCTGGAGGTGTATATATATTGTCTGTCTGTCTGTCCATGACTTTGCGTGTCAGCTGCTCCAGATGAAATCCAAAATACCCATAATAAACAGTTTACTGAAATGGACAATGGGAAATTCTAGGTATTTCTGTGAAATTTTAACGCTTTGGCTTCTTGGTCTGTAAAGCCCAAAATGTCGTTTCAGGACAAAAACCTTCATCTTCTCCCAAAGAACTCAGCTTTCATCCTATTCTGTACAAATTTAGTAGTCAGGGAACGGGAAATCTATGCCCTGAGTGCCAGGCAAGAGCACAGAAAGAAACAAGCCTTTCAGCAACTCCTGAAAGCGGGGAGCACATGAACATCATCTGTGGGGACATTCATCTGGTGCAAGAGGAATGGGTGCTCCAGTCCCTCCTCAAGTTCCTTTCCTGTTTCATCTACCCACAAGATGCAGTGCTGCGTGTAAGATGGATCCATCCCACTGAGGCCCTAGCTGGCTGCTGGGCAGCTGATCTGATATGTGGGTGTATCCATACCCTCCCTCTTGGGCAGAGGACTGAATCTGGCTTGTATATTGGAACTTGCATATTAAGCACTAATAATTTTCACAGCTCAAAGTTTTCTTGGGGACTCTTCTATTTTTTTCCCAAAATAAAGTAGCCACGGACAAAATTTCTGGTATGGAGAAGGCTGAATGAGAATTGTGCAAACCATTTTGAAGTCAGAGGTTTATTGCAGGCACAGGGCAATGCAGTCTAGAATAGGGGACATTTGAGGAGGCCACAGTTTCGGGTTTTGATACCCACATAAACAATTGAGACATTGCTAGGAAGTCCAAAGTATATTTGTAAATCATTGTGAAATATGTCCATTCATGATTTCAAGCCAAACTAGGAAAAAAAAAAATAAATATTACTGTGAGTTGATTATTATCATCATTAACAGAGTAATAAGTACTGTAATAAGCCTATTGCATCTATCAATGTGCTAGAAGCCTTCATGAAATTAAGTTTTGCTGGAAACAGTAACAGTATTTTAGCATGAATTACCCTGTGTTAGCAAACTGGGCTTAGTCTTCCTCAGCATGCCACTCCTGTGGCAAAAGATCATTATTTGACTGCAAGGAAGGTGTGAAGGAAGGAGCATTTGCTCTTGCCTCAGCTTGAGAAACTGAAGAACAGTAAATATAACTGAGGGCATTATGTTACAGTGCACAGTGCAGTAGAAGAAGTTACAATCATTAACCTCTGGTCAAAAACTGAAGGCTCAGATTAAAAGGTCTGTCAGTTTTAGCCTTGCTAGTTGTTCTACTTTCACAAGTAAAAGGTAGAACTTCAAAAAGGATTTTAAAAACCATTTACTTTGTTTCTCAGGATAAAAGAATGACTAGCTTCTCATATGCAACAATTACTACCTGCAGGTTAGTGCTTTGATTTGAGTTTTGAATGCACTCCAAGTCAATATGTCAATAAAACTCTTTGCCTTCTTTCAGCTATACTTGTAACTAATGCCACTGTCAACTCTTGTCAGCCAATTTCTTGGAAAAGATTTTCTGGCTAACTCCTTCCTTTGAAAATTGGATGGCTGCCTGCTCATTCATGTGGGGCCATAGCACAATATTTGCTATTGTTCTCTGACTTTGTTTTTATTTTTAATTTCTCAGACTCATAAATTAGCTTATTTCCTCAGTTTACATTTTGTCCTTTTCCAATAGGTTTAGCATTTTAAATTGTTGACACATTATATAGCCTCCATAAAGTGGAAAGCATGTTCCGGGTCTGACACAATCCCAGCTTCCTTGCTGCACTTTCATGTTGAAGTAAATGGCCATTTACTTTATTCTGTACCTATAAATGACAATATGAACATAAGATAGAGGAACATAAGATATAAAACTTGAGCTCAAGCTGAAATAAGTTTTATTCAGTGTGCTGTTGTTACCAGCAGCAGAGAAAATAATACTCAGATACCTGTATTCACTCCCTGGTTTTAGAACATAGGAGGTGTGTGTGTCTGAGTTACCTCTGGGGACCTCTTAGAACTTGTCATACAGGAACAAGTCTTAAGAAACACAAAATGTTTTGGTTCTTCCTCCATCCCCATCACTGCTACAGCTCCCTGTAGTCCATTTTCTCACTGTGGAAAGACCTTTGTAATCTGGATCAGGTCTTTAAAACTGTACCATCCCATGTGAAGCATTTGCCAGAACAAACTAATTAATTATCTGCAAGAAAACAAAGCATCCTGATTAGCAGCATCAACCAGATACTGGAATACAAAATCTAATACTGACTGAAGCTGTTTCTTTAACATGTTACTCCAGTAGCATCTGTCTCACTGTATTTCTTTTAATCTAGTTTGTTCCTCCTCATGCTACTTTGAAGAACAGTAGTGTTGCTAGTATTCTTGTCCTTAGGTTCAGGTTGTGGTGTTGTGACCTGTCTTAGCTTTGGCCAGGGTGGTTTAGCTTTTATAAACTGAATGGTGACAATGGGTCAACTTGCTGATCTCAACATAAATTACTTCCCCAAAATCATACTTTAAAAACCACACAAGATTATGTTCTACTCTTTTTCATTTTAACAGTAGACTTTTATTTCAAAGTGTGGTAGTCTGGATTTGCCCTGGTCTCTAATCCTGGCAGATAACAGTGAATAGCAGAAACCAACTGCTATGAAGTAAAACACTGATAGCCAGAAAGGTTGATTGTACTTTATTAATTTATTATTAGATGAAATTGCAAAACCAGTGTTGAGACAGTGTAAGTATAGACTAAAGTCCCTGAAGCTAGCAATTTCTTCCACTTTGTGTCTGGAAATTAAAGAATTCTAAGAATGGTGTAATGAGCCAGAGTAAAGATGAGCTTGGTGTAGGAAATTCCCAGACTGCTTTTTCTAGCTCAGCCCTGGTCAAAGCAGGTCAAAGCAGGCAGCCTGCACTGCACTGGCTGTGGTGGAATACAGCAGCTGTCTGCCACCCTTACAGCCACAGAGCTCAGTTCAGACTGAAACCACACAGTAATCTTTTAGGGGTTTGGAAGCTGTGAAACCTCCTGAAAGCCAAGTATGACAGTAATAACATGGTCCTTACAGACTGAAAATGCCTAGGTCAAACAGAAACTGAGGGCAATGGTGGAGTCTCCTTAAGGCTGTACCTGTTTGCAACGCAGCAAGTTCGGCCCACAGCATTGCACGTGTAGCTTCCATGCAGATAACACTTAATAGCAGAGGGTTTTTTTCTTAATCCTCAGTCCTGCAAGTACTTGTTTCTGAGGTATTCTTACCCTTGGCAAGTCTGTTTCTGAAGAGCCTCATCAGTGAGGAGGGCTGCAAGGATCTGGCTGTAAGACAGTACTGTCTTGGGGATCTGGGTGGAATACAGCCTGTCTTCCCATCTGGCAAAACACACGTCTTCAGGTGAGAGGAGGGATCCTGCTGAAGTCCATAGTGCCACACAGGACAGAACTGACGCCAAGCTGCTGCTCAGGGTGGGGCTTTAAGGCACGTTCATCCCCGGCAGCCAGCAGGTAGGATCAGGTGTTAGTCCTGCAGCTCGCCACCTGCTCTGTGGCTGCGTTCCCGCAGCAACAAGGAGGAATGGATGTGAAATTTGTCATTGTTTTGGTTGTTCTACCACTCATGGTTAGTCAGACGTCTGAGAGTAAGTAGATCTGTATTTTATCTTTTTCTATACTTTGATCTCTTGAAGGAAAAAAGACCTGAAGTGTGCCTGCCTGGAACCGTGTCTGCTTGAGCCTTTGCAGCTCTGCACAGGACCAGAGGTGATAGCTCAAAGGTCTGTGTTGCTTTTCTTCAAAAAGTTGAAGTTGGGTGTCTTAACTGAATAGCAGTTGGCATTTTCAGCAGTCAGGGATTCACCTGAGAATTTCCTCTGCAAACCTGATGTTTCCACGACAGATGTGAGCAAGTTATAATTCTGTGAAGTGGCTTAAGCATGGAAAAGTCATATGAGCTCTTTGTCGTAGGAAACATTATCAAGAAGGGTTTACCTGCTGAGGGTGTATGACCTTTACAGCAGTGATTTCCTGAAGGAACACCTAGTAAAATGTCAGTAATTGTTTAAAGGGAACTCACAAGTTCAGGTGGAAATTCCTCCTTTACAATCTTCCCAGAGGAAATGTGTTTAGAAAATCATTTGGTCTTTTTCCTTTAAAGTGAAATTTAAGTAAAATTGCCCTGGGTGACAGAGGTTTCAAAAAACTTTTTATGAAAAACTTCAACAGATTTCTCCCAGCAGAAAAGCAGTTTTGCATGCAACTTTGCTCTGTCCAGTGCAGCATGTCTCAAGGATTCAGGAGATCAAATAACACTTAAAAATTAAACTTAACTTTAAACCCAAAATTTAAAAAGAAATTTTAAAAATTAACTTTAAAAGCTTTCAAAACCAACTAGGCAAGGCTGTGCTTGATTTCTTACTTCTTCTTTGTAATTTTTTACTATAAAATAGACTGTGTTCACAGAGAAGGTAACTCAGATTCTGGAGTTTCTTCAAGATGATTATTTTTCAGGCTCTACTGGCTTCAGTAGGAGTAGGAATTGTGGAATTCCTTGAAGATTTACACAACACATAGACAAAATCTGCCTTAGAATTGTATCCTGTTAAAATGGCCACTGCACCTGCTGGCATGGAAGGCTCTGCAAGTGCTTTTGTTCTGGCCAGTCAGCAAGGTCTTGCACAATAGAACTGACACATACATGCACAGGTCAAAGTAAAGGTTCTCTTAGAATGTGTTCTTTTACACTGAACCTTCTGAATGCCTTTACCACCCAACTTTCCTCATCCAGACATGCTCCATACTTGACTAAATTCTCAAATGGCAGACCCACAATAAAAATGAGCAGAATTTCAGGTGGCTGGTTGGGTTTCAGGCACACCCTACCTGAGCTGAACCAGATTTGTACTTAACCCTACCTATGCTTACGCTTCCTAGGCTCGCCATTATGCACCCATTTAATTCAGGGTGACAGCAGACATACAAGTAAGATCTGGACTGGTGAACATAAACTTGTGGTAGTTTCCTTTGCTTGTGGATGTGAATTGGCAGCTGTTGATGGAGGTCAGGAAAGCCATCTGTTGTTCAAAATCACACCTAGCTACAGGCTTAAACATGACCCAGCCAGGCAAGGCCAGAAAAAAAATCAAGGTATTCTGTAGGATGTGATGGGGATTTCTCCTCCACAAACTCTACCCCTTTACCCCAATTCCCCATAATATAATTCAAAATAAATTTTTCAATTTTGTTTTAAAAATCCTGGTAATCTTCCATGATCACATCTCAGCCAAGGATTTACAGGGATTTCCTCAGTGAAGGAGGCAGCACTGCAAGAAGTATGAAGTAGGCTGGACAACAGAGCTTATTCCAGAGATGGCTGGTTTGAATTTCAGTTTGAAAAGACAAAAATTCTATTCTGGAAGCTCCTACATGAATTTCATCTTGAAGACATGAAGGGAGAAAACTGGTAATTCACATACAGTAATAGCATCCAAATCAAATGTTCAATCCTACAGCACAGGAATAACAACTAAATAAGATTGAGACTTCCCAAAGGAGTTATCTGGACTTACCCTACTGAAGATATTCCAGTAATGTTAGTCTGGTCTGTACAGTGTGGGAGATGGGTTCCCTCTTCTCAAAATGTGTTTCTTTACAGAAAAAAAACCAGATTTATATTCACATGACAGCTTCTTTTTGCATCTTAATATGCAATACATTGTGATGTTTGTTTTTGCTAGGAATAGCAGAAATTTCCCATTCTGGTAAGGCAGTAGATATTACTGTTTTTTTGACCACATCAATATTACACTCTGTTTTGCCAATTTTCAGCCTGCATTTCTTTGATGCTCTGTAACCCAAGCACCAAGGATGTTATATGGAGACAGACAGCTTGCAAACTGATCATGATTTGATGGACAAAAACCTATCCTAAAATCCTGACCTGTAGGAAATACCCATCTATCCATCTCCAGTCAGTCTTCCAGCTTTGAACATGTCAGTATTAACAGCAGAACAGGAAAAGCATCACTTCATAACTTCATTTATATTTATTCTTTATATAGTATACTATTTTTATTTATGTCTTATTCTTTATGGTTATATGGTTTTAGCTTAGAATCCCTTCTATCTTTTTTTTTCAACTCTCAGAATTGTGCTTTAACTGTATGTATTGCCATGTCAAAATAGTAGGATGCATTGGAACATTTTTCAGTATTTGAGCTCCCCTCTCAAGTCCAGCAATTAAGCAACTTCCTTGTTTTTACAGTTTATGTCTATGCTGTATTTCCCAAGAATTCTAACATCCTGCTTTGTTCACCTGTCAGCCAGGATCAGAGCCTTCTGCATAATAAAATAGTTATTGGCTTGCGTTAGGTTAAGAAGAAAAGACATGCCTTGAGGTGTTGAACTCTTAAAATAGCCTTAAATTAAATGGGAGAAACCATTTTTGGCTTTATGAAATAAAGTGCTAAATATGCACTATGAGTGCTAAATAAGCTACCTGATAGTAGTTAATATTAAGTGCAGGTGATGTGATAGTAAATTTCCATCCAAGGGAAGAGCCTGGATTCTATGTTTGTATCAATACACACCATGTCCTGACTAAGCAAGATGTTAATACAATTAATCAATGCAAAGTTGTTTGGGTTTTCTTTCCAGATGTTCAAAGCCTACTTTGTAACCACAAAAGAATTCCATTAGGAAATACTAATGCCTGCTGCTAATAGCACAGGTGTGCCAAACTTGTGCAATGTGTACAGACCTGCAACCATTCAGGGTGAACTTGAGGCACAATTAGCAGCAGGTCTCACATTTCAGCACAGAAGCAGAAAGTGACTCAAATTTATGGACCTCACCATGCAAGGGAAGCATTCCCTCAGACCACACAAAGTGTTGAGGGAACCCATCCTGCTAAATAATGTTACCCATGTTTGTTGGGGTCCCTTAGTTTGTGAAAATTCAAGAACTGTCCTGTTTTTCTTGGTTACATGAAAGAACAAGTACAGTGTGGCCTCTCACTCAAGCAGTCCAGTTCACAAAGGTGAACCAGGTGCTCTGCCAGCAGTACTGACAGGCTCTTGTGCACTGCCAGTAGGATTCAGGAGGGACCACCAAAGGCATGGTCAAAACTGACTGCTGGAGCAAAACTTGTGAAGAAAAGAGCTGCACAAGTTCTGGGCAGCTGGGTTGGGTCTGGAGTGGAGGGAAATGGAGAAAGGAAGGTAAAATGCCTTCCCTACTGTTCTCACTTAAAGCACAGCTTTTCTTTATCATCTTTAGTCAAAAGAGACCAAAATGAAACCAATAGTTAAGAGCAAGCACAGGGGTTGGGGGCACAATGGCTCCATCACTCACCATCTATTTCCATGGGGCATCATCTCCTCTTTCTTCCTCCATCTGGCCCTCCTTCATGAGGCAAAGACCTGCCCTGCTGTAGAAGTCTCTGGGGCACCAAATGTAAAAGTGTTCACTTCTTTTCCCCAGGATCAGGATTGACAAGCAGAGAGACAGTTTTCACATTCAGGCTTATAATGTTTATTTTACCTTATCTATACTGCATTTTTACAGATAGTAAGTACTTCTAAACACTAACCTAGCAAGCTACAAATGGTGACCTTGGGCTCTGTCCACAAGGCCTTTTAAGCAAAAACTATCCAATTATCAAATGACAACTAACTTATTTTTACATTTAACCCAAAAACCAAACACCTGTGTTCTGCACTGCAAACTTTTTCACCTCCAAAAATCACAAAAATATTACCAAAATCCATGAAGAAGAAGGAAGGCAAAGGCAAACCAATGCCTAAGAACCTCCATCTTGTCTCTTATTCACTACTATATCTCTAAACTCTGTATTTTTCACTCAGTAACTTAACATAATTCTATCTAACTCACACATTCACATTCCCAGTTTCTCAACTTAGTTTTAGAAGCCTTCTCCATGGTCTTAAATTAAACACAGTGTTCTCTCAGGTGCCTGAGCCTGACAGCATAGATAAAGGGACATTTTCTGTGCCTGGATCTCCAACACCCTGCCATGTTAAATTCTGTGTGGAGGAGGCTGGCAGAACCACTGACTGCCATTTCTCTCCTTGCCAGTGCTCTACCCTACCCCTTGCCCAGCCCCACCTGCCTGAAACTGCAAAGGAAAGCGGTACAAGAGCCTGGCATGCTCCCACTGTGTGCCACTGGAAGGTTCTTCATCAGGCATGACAGTTTTCCTAAGAGATTTGGTGAATCTAGGAATATCAGCTTGAAACTGAAGAAGGACAGAGAAGTTCTTTGTGGCCCCAGAAATCAAGTAGGTACCAATAATTCCTTTTAGTATTTTTTGCCTGAACTCTAGACAACCAGCCTTCTCTGGCTGATTAACATGTGGCTCTCAAGTTCGAGAATGATAAAAAGGATAAGACAAGTTTCTATAGACTAAGTTTGGCCAGATAGCGAGAGGAAATGGAAAAATAAATTTTAGGAAGTCAAAGAGATTTGATACTAATAAACTAAAACGTAAAGACAGGTATAATGGATAGTACTCATGGAGGTCTTGTTCCATGAGAAGCTTTGTTTTCACTGTGCTCTATTCCCAAGTACTCCATTTCAATCACAGCATGGTTTGATTTGGAAGGCATCCAAATCAAGATAATTTGATAATTCAAATTATCAAAGATAATCAATAATCAATTCAGTTCCAACCCCTTCTGTCCTGTGCAGGGACAAGTTTGACAACTTTACCTTTTTTTTCCCCCTTTTTTCCTTTTTTGCTTTTCTTTTCTTTTTTTCTTTTTTCCTTTTTCTGAGTGTGCTAAATAACTTTGAAAACAACAGGTCTTTCCCTGGAGAGAGTTCCCAAAGAAGAAATACCAAAATAGATAATATCACTTGCTGAAATAACAACAGAGGAATCCCTTCTGTCTCAAGATCCATCACTAAGCTTAGTCCTTTCAGCAGCTCCTTTAGCTTTAAGAGTCTCAGTGTCAGACAACAGGTCAAAATAATTTTTGGGTAAGCTGCTGTGTATTTCTTACTGTGTCACTGAGCACAGAGACAAATGAAATCAGCAGCACTGCAAAAATCCTCTTGACTGATAAATGGCATAAAACAGGCCATGCCAACAACCGTGTGCAAAACCACAGTTCTTTCCTTTTAACTACTGTTAAATCAACAATTACTAATAACCCTGAGCTAATTGCTGAAACCACATAAAAAATACGGCCCTGGGTTGGGCTGAAATTATTAGCTTTGCTTAGGTTTACCTCCTAATTTCTTCCCACTTAGATTAAAATTAAATTATAGTAATTTAGCAGATTAGAATGAAGTTACAGTAACAGTGGAGCTGCAGAATGGCTCAGTGCTCCATGAGTGCAGTATCAGTTCTCCTGGGCTCTGGGGAATTACAGGATTTCCTTGGCTCACTGATTTTGTACTTCATACACAGGAAAAAAAACACTTTTAAAACTGACTTCCATGTAAAAAGGTACCAGTTCTCAGAAGTGCCTCTGTCTTTTTTGCTGGTAAAACTTTCGTGTTCTCTGACAGAAAGACCCTCATGCCATGCATTCATCTGTGATTCACAGATTATCAAATTCTATTTTCCATATTGTATCTGTGCTTTCGTACACTTAACAAAATGTAGGAAAAAAAAAAAAAGAAAATTAATTGTGACAGCTTCTTTTTCATCAAAAACTCGATGCATATCAGAATTCCTCAAAGAATAAATACATATGAAAGCAAGAAAGCATCCCCAGGCACATGCCTCTAATAAAAATGTACTAGGAGGCTTTCAGTGTCCATAAGAAATGCTCTTGCCTCTTTATCAGCATCTATTTACATTTTATTTTCAGTCTGGTTTCTGTAGGGGCATTCCCCAGGTTCACATGCAGCTTGCTGCCTGTGCTTCCACTGTGGGGCACAGTTCTGTACAACTGCGTGGGTTGGATGTCAGTGGCATCCAATGCTCCAGGTCAAAGACTGACTGAGCAATGAATGATTGAATTTGCTCTAAAATGGCAACTCTGGCCAAGTAAGTGGTGTCTAAATGTGAAGTTATAAACAAGTTGTTAAAGGTTACAGTTCCAGTTGGTTAAGTTTTTTGCAAAAGGGCAGTCAGTCAGAAGTGGCCAGTGAGACACACACAAGCCCACCTGGATGCATCAGGAGTTTTACTTTATTTTCCTTGGTTGAGCCTGAGTATGTTTTTTCTATAAGCTATAAAAGTACATCAATATGAATTTAATATTTTTTAGTTATAAAGTGTACAAATGGGTAGCATGGTGCTATATAGTGCACTGAAAAGTGCAATACTGATAGTTCAGATCTGAATATCAAAGCAAGGGATGGTTTTAAGTACATAAAGTAGGATGTGAGCAAGAGGTAATAAACAAGCAAAAGCATCAGGAAAACCAGTTGAGGAATAGTTCAAGGGAAGCTGGCTCTCCCTAACACCTTTTGTAATATTCAGCCACTCCACAGAAACTGGCAGTACTGGCCCTGCCAAACATTTTTGTTTACTGGACCCCAAAGCAATAGTGGAATAGACCTCTCCAAAAAGCACAGCAGGCAACATCAGACAGTTTAAAATACAGTTATCCTTCCTTAAGTTTTTATCTGACAGAATCCTTCTGTCAGGAGCTGACTGGCAACAACAAAACTTTATACTTTAGTTTTATCAACTCTATCTTGAGGACCTAGAAAAAAAATTACAATTAGTGATGCTCAATGAACTGGATTTCCATTTGCGAACATCAATTAACTTGCCTCACAAGACGTATGCTGCTGACGAGAGAAAAACAAAGGACAACTGGGAAATAACACAGGTAGCAATCAACACTTAATTGGTCCTTCTGAACCATATGATTATCTATAGCACTCCTCTCTGGGTTGCTGAGGAGACAACTGCTGAGCCAGCTTCTGTCTTTCCACCTCCCTTCTGACTATGAAATCCCAGGGCCCTGTCATCAATCCTACAGGTATAAAATCCCCCTTTGAGCAGCAGTAGGCAGTGTGAGTGCTCTCTGATGACCCCAGCTCCATTGCTGGCTGCTCAAGCTCACTGCTACGGCTGTGCCAGCATCTGTTATTCCAGCACTAAGCAAGCACTCTTGTAAGAAGAAGCACACAGAATTGTCTTGCTTACAGGAAAAATTTTAAACAGACTTATGTCAGCTTACAGAAGCTGAAATTGATTCTCTTTTTTTTTTTCTAGCTCATGACTCTTGCATTCAAGGTTAAATGATTACTTAGGGAAAGCATGTATAGAAAGAAAAACAAAAACAAATAGGAAGGAAACTCCCTCTACACTTCTCCCAGATTAGTTCAGAGTCAGGGACCCAGGGGACCCAGGGGTCCTTGCTGGGCTCATTTTGAAGCATGGGTTTAATCCTGAGACCTTCATCCTAGATAAATCCCTGAGCAATACAGCTTTGCTTGTTCTTGAGCTAGTGGAGGAAATCCCTTTTAGAAGATCTATTTCTCTGCTAACACAGAAGAAAATCAAGCCCCAAATGTTAGTATTTGTCTTAAAAAACAAAAATCCACCTAGATTGATGATCTTCTTTTTAAAGTTCAGTGACTTTTTATTTTCAAGATGGTATTAGCAAACAGGAAAAAAATCTGCAGCATATAATCCCATAGGGGAGAGACATTCAACCATGGGAGCCCTTGGGGTAAAAGAAAACACAAACCCCAGCAAGAACATTGATCATTTCAAAGACACAACAAAAGATAATGGGCCTGATTTGACCTAAAAACCAGAGCTTCTAAATTATACTCGTGACACTTCCTGTGTCATTAATGTTGGTGATCTTCCACAGGTAAAAATAAATATTTTAAAATTACTTTTATATTACTGTAACAAGCCTTTACATATACATGCACAGGGAGGGGTAAAGGAAACTTATTTAAAGCACCAATCTCTCTAGTGGGAGAAACTGAGAGGACAGTATCTCACTGCACAAGCTGTGAGGATAACTAGCCCTTGACAGCACTCCGAATTTCCCTTGCACTCAGGCATGCAGCATGGGGAACAAACAAGAGTGTGAAGTGTGGCTGCAGGTGCAGGGCTTGGACCTCACTGGGCTCAGGGACACGTGCTCAGGGGTGGATCATGTCAGTGCTGTGCTGCAGCTGAGGGAAATGGGCTTTTAGGAATGGCAGGCTGGAAGGCAAGGAGAGGGAGTTGGTCTTTATGCAAGAGAGCAGCAGGAATGCATGGATTCTGCCTGAGGATGGAAGATGAGCTGGCTGAGAGCTTACAGGTCAGAATTAGTGGGCAGACCAACAGGGGTGATGTGGTGGTGTGGGGGTCTGCCATAGACCTCCCAACCAGAGAGAAGAAGCTGAGGCCTTCTTCAAATAGATGGAAAAATCCTCAAATTCACATGTCTTAGTCTTCATGGAGGACTTTACCCATGCTGATATCTGCTGGAAGGGCAATACAACAGTGCTGAAGCAATCCACAAGCCTTGTGCATTGATGACATCATCCACAACAAGTGATCAAGGCACAGGAAAGCACTCAGGTGGACCAGATACTTGCAAACAGGGCAGTCCTAGTCAGGGGCATGAAATCAGAGGCAGCATTGGCTCCAGTGTCCATAAAGTAGTGGAGTTTGGGATTCTAGGAGAAGGGAGCAGGGCAAAAAGCAAGATCATGGACCTGGATTTAATAAGAGCTGATTTATAACCTCTTCAGAAATTTGGAAGAGTCCCATGGAATGTGATCCTGGGTAGAAGTGGGGTCAAATAGAGCTGACTAGTGTTCAAGGGTCACCCCCTCCAAGCATTAGAAAGGTCTGTTCTGACAAATAGAAACCCAAGGAATGTGTCAGGAGGCCTGGCTGGATGCACTTAGAGCTTTTAACTGCACCAGAACCTAAAAACAGTCTAACACAGGGGAGGAAGCAGGGCCACTGACCCAAGTGGAGTATAGGGTTGTCTGATCATGCAGGAATGAAGTTAGAAAGGACAAAGTCAAAGCTGAGCTGGAGTTGAATCAGTCAAGAGATGTCATGTGTAACAAAATGTCCCACAAGTCTATAAATAACAAAAGAAAGAGGATTGAATATGAAAACCCACTGCTAAGCTGAACAAAGTGACTGGTGCCAAATTACATAGAACAGGCTGAGATACTCAACACTTTCTTTTTCTTACTCTTTACTATGCAAACTAGGCAGAATAACAAGAATCCCAGGTTCCTGGGACCAGATGGAATGTTTGCAGCAAGGGTGATTTATTGTCAGTGGAGAAAGACTAAACTTGAGAGCACTTTTAAAAACTAGATGTATATAAGACCACAGAACAAATAGGATGGACTACAACCAGTGCTGAAGAAGCAGTTTGATGTCATTGTAAGGCCACTGTCAGTTACCTTGGAATAGTCATGGCAAGTGGAAGAGGTTCCTGAAGATTGAAAGAGAGCAAGTATTACCCCTATCTTCAAGTATGGCAAGAAAGAAGATCCAGAAAACTCCCCAGGCCAGCCTCATCTCAGTCACTGGGAAGGTGATGAAGAAAATTATCTGAGAAAGCATTTCCCGAGATCTGAAAGACAAGATGGCCATCAGGAGCGGTCAGCATGGATTTATGAAGAGGACATCATGCTTGACTGACCTGGTAGCCATCTCCAAATACTGTGACTAACTTATTGGTCTAGAGAAGAGAGATGGGGGTTTGTGTACCTTGAGTTCAGGAAAGGCTTTGATTACTGTCTCTTGCAATATCATCATAGACAAGCTGAAAAAATATAGGAGAGACCAGTGAAGATTGACACAGACAGAGAACTGAATGAAGGACTAGGTCCAGAGGGCTTTAATTGGTGCCAAAAACCCCAAGGGTCACCATGGGCTACAATAGAGTTTGATACCTTCATTAAAGACCTGGATGATGGAACAGAATGTGCCTGTGACATGTTTGGAGACAATAACAAACTGGAAGCAGTAGCTGGTGTGCCACATGGTTTTGCTGACATAGAAATGGGCAGAGAGGAAACTCACAAAGTTCAGCAAGGGGAAATGATGAGTCTGGGGAGGAATGATGGCAGGCTGGAGGCTAGTAGGAACAGAAATAAAACTCTGATCGGTTTGTCTCTTGTTCACCAGGACCTACAGGTGCATCACATGGCTCTGCTGATAATGAGGGAAGGGGCATGAACACATGACTTGCTTGATCGCAGAATGGCTGCTTGTCCCATAAAATGGAGTTAATTAAGCTAAGCACATTATCAGGGGCTGAGAGCAGAGCTCAAGCAGGACCCAGGGACCAGATGGCCCTGCCTGAGCAGGGGGCTGGACCAGATGACTTCCAGAGGTGCCTTCCAATCTCAACCCCTCTGTGATTCTGTACAGTCAAAGTATGACTTATCCCTCTTATATCTGTATTGTTTCTAACATTGCTGCTCCTCTTTTTAGCTTTGTTTCCTGGGGCCTTTAACTGTTGCATGAAAATTTCAAATGAAATTCCCAAAGGAATTCTCAGAAGAGTGGAGAGATTTGAAATCCAGAAAGCTGATGGCCTGTGTCACCTAGAGGCTGTTATGTAAGAGATATTTTGTGTCTTTCACTATGAAAGGGATACTGCAAGTTAAAACCTATTAGGCAGCATTTAAATAAGTAGCATTTTAGAAAGCTAACACAATTTCAAAAAACAACATTGTATGCAATTTAAGAAATGTCCTTCCTTGTGATATTTGAACTCGATTGTTAAAATTTACTTTTTCAGTAAATATACTGAATATTATATTTTCAGAACTGAAAAATTACTCATACACCTTAAAGACTTCTCTGCTTTTTCAAATTATTTATCCTCTAAAACCCTTGCCTAAACTCATTAAATCAGCTTTATTTTTGTGCATAAACTATATCTAATTTTTTTCCTGGTACAATATCATACCATTTGGATTAAATTGGTACATTTTCTAGACTTTTGCATGATAATCATAGTCAGAATATCTACACAGTAATCTGCTTAGTTATTGTTTATAGAAATGTTTTGCTTTGCACTGTGGTTCTTTTTGTACTGAAGTAATAAAGCATTTTTTCAGATTTTGGAATATAAGTTTAGTCATGTAAACATAGATCCTAATATATTTGAAACCAGCAAAAAAATTAATAAACATGGCATAAAATATAACTTAAGGTTAACCAAGTCTAACTTGGTGGTCTTCATAGGTGAATGATAATTATGATGATTTTTAAAAGCTGGGATTTTTACTTTTTTTCTTTGAAACCAACAACCATTTTTTCTCTGTTAGTCTTCACATGAAAGGCAAAAAGTTCTGTGTGAATCCATGGAACAGAAAAATCAAGAAAATGATGAAGAAGATGAAGCACAAGATTCATAGGAGCAAATCTCATATCAGAAAGCAGAGAAGAACCAGAATTACCAAACAGAAAGAACAGAAGCAGCAGCAAAATGAAGCAAGACCATGATGAAGATACTGTGCCATACAGCACTGTGGGCGAGGATACCAGATTTCACCAGTGGTGGATGATTGTAGGATTAAAATGACTTTTCAAATCTCTTTGTGCTGGAGAAAGCAGAGGCAGAAAACATCACCTGTACTCAGAACAATGCTGATCAGATTATCAGACAAATGACAAGTTGTTCCTGGTAATGCCTTGTAACAAGTACTTGCCATACCTCCTGGATCTTTTCGCAGACTTAAATCTTCCTCTCTCTCTCACCCTGCTTTTATGGCAACCTCCCCTGTGATTTCTGTTTTAACATACTGCTCCTTCTCATTCCTCAATTTTTACCCAGTCCTATCCTTTTCCTTATTCTTCCCTGCCAGCAATCATCTTTCTGCTGTTGCCTGTTTTGTTTACATTCTTCCAGTCATTAATCTTTTTTCTTCATCTTACATAGTTTCACAAACACTTTTTCAGATAGTTCCAGCTTGTTTGTCAACACCATATCTTTTACGTGTTCTAAGCAGTCTCTGCTCCCAGCTGTTAATACCATGAAATATAATTTCAGTGGTAATATCTGATCCTCTTCATAGGATTCAAAGTGTGGCACTCAGAGCTATGCAATAAAGATCATCTCTATTGCTTTTGTTCATTCAATTTTGTTTATTCAAATACTCAGATCCTTCAATACACTCTTTGCAGAATTTCTCATAATTAGAACTGAGGATGGCAGTTCGGCTACCCAGTCCATAGCCCTCTACTGTTCAGCACCGCCTTCTCCTGTGTGGCACAGTCCTGATTCCCTCCCTCATTCCTTGAAAACTTCAAACTAATTTAGTATTTCCACAAACACATTTCATCAACAGCTCTTCTCACAGACACCTATAGAGTAAGCAGCTAAAAAGGAAGAAGAGAGATATCTTTAAAAGAGTAAGTGCCATAGAATGCAACATCTCATAAGCCAAAAATACTTCATATAGCAGCTTAATTCCACTCTTTCTCCTCCCAGCAATTACTGTTTTTTTTTTTTTCAATCACTGCATTGCACTTATTTAAGTTCCTTAGACTTGCCTCTAGTGTTTGCTTTGAAATTTTTATGTAAAACTACAACCTGCAAGCACGGCAGAAAGCAAGGCTGATGATGGGGGATAGAAGCAGCTGCCGGGAGTTCCCCTGTATAAGAGAGCTGATGAACAACTGCAGCAAGGTCACTAGAGATAAACAGCATACTCCTACAGATGCAAATCTGGGGAAAGAAACCTGACTCCCTCCAAAAGAGATAAGAGAAACAATTACTGTTCTTATGAGCCAACTGTCTTCTGACAGGGATGAGGCAACTGATATAATTCTTCTTCCAGATCCTAGGGAATAATTTGTACAGCATGTACACTGGCATGGCTCCATCTTCTGCCTGCTGGAATAGCATACAGGAAGTCTGCTGCTGGGAGCAGGAGCTGGAGCTGCCCTTTCTGACTCTGAGCCTGCACAGAGGTTCTTCCTCCCAAGGCTGTGCTTGGCACACTGCTGATGCAGACTATGTGACCCTGGCTAATGGATGCTGAAATGGCACATGCTTTCAACCACTCCATTTGCATTGCCTGGACACCACATGGATAATTAGCTAATGAGTATCACACAGAATCCAATCTCCCTGGGCCCAGGTCAACAGAGCACCAGGAATGCAAAATTGCTGAAGCACTTTACAATATGGCATCAACATATATTATATTACTCTTTCTGGCAGTTCCATTTTCTTCCTCATGTTCTGCTCTGCATTTCAGATTTTGAATCTTCTTGCTTCCTTCAGATTTCTACATGGGTTTATGACGGCATCTCAGGTCCTCAGAGCTGTGCCATCAGTGGTGTCATCAATGGTACCAAAAGCTGTGCCATCAACCAGTGACCTTTAGAGTGTATACACAACATACTAATACCCTAATTTCCATGGCTGTGCTATGGGAGAGAGCATTTCACAGGATTAGAGTATGGAACAACCTTTCCAGGGGAAGGGGAAGGGGAAGGGGAAGGGGAAGGGGTCTGTGCTGGTTTAGGTACAGGCTGCTGGGAAGCTCCATGCACTCTTGGCTTGCAGACCTGTCCTCTGGCACTTGTAGGATCAGACCACAGCTGCAGTTCTCTTTCCTATTTGGAAAGCAGTACAGATACTAGGTGGTAACTTGTTTTTGTGCTGTCAGCTTTTCTGGACTCCAAATCTCTGATTCTTACCAATTTAGCAATTCCTTCTCTGTATTCAAAATTAAAGACCCAGCCAGATCTGCAACTCAAATGTTATTGAAATATTTGCATTTAATGGACCTACTTTAAAAGACAGGCTTTTATAATTTTGTTTACATCTTCCAGCTCTTCAATGTGATATCTTCTATCAGGTTCTCCTGGAACCAGTAGATCAAACTGAGATATTATGAGATTACAAAGTTCACTTCCTGCTGCCAGCTGTATTTCAAGTTTTGGTTCCTCTGCATTCTTCTGTCATTCAATCTAAAAGGAAAAAAAACTTCCTTCCCTGATACTGGTGTATGAAGTACCAAAACAGCACTTGAAAGATCCACTGCCTCATATAGTTTCATTTATCCCTGAATGCTGACACACAAATATGTAGAAGAAAAGTCTTCCAGTGTCCAAACCTTCACTTGAGTGACCTCATATTCTCTGTACCTGAGCATTATTTTTGACCTTTGCTATTTTGTACTTGGCAACAAAATAAAATCAATGCCCCTTTCGCTAAAGTCATCTCAACATCTTGTTATGTGGAAGAGATTATTAGGGCACATAGCTTTGTTTTCCCTAAAAATGCTGAATAAAGCTCTCTTTTCAAAGGGTTTAGGTGCTTAAAAGGTTTAGTTGGATGCATTTGAAAACCCCAGTGAGTATTTTAGTGGCTTAGAAGTGTAACTTTCATCCAGTTAAGTCCAAATTAGGCTTGTAATTAATATTCTTGAGAATTCCAATAAAGGCACTTATAAGCACTTTTAAGAAACAGCTTAACAGATTATTATCATCTGGCTTTTTCATTTATTTTAAGAGTTATTAACTTAATGTGACAGCCTCTAAGTCTTTAGGGTACTTAAAAAAAAATCACAGCTATCATTGCTCAAGAACTGCCAAACAGAAGCAAAGTTTGGTCTATTAAGGCAAAACCAACACTCTCAGTTTGATACTCTTGCTTAAAACTAGAAGTCACACTAGAGTCATAAAACTGCAAATACTTTCCTTTCTTTAAAAACAGCACCAGGTTAGGAGTTACCGCACACTTTCACGCGGCTGAAAAATGTTGGTAGAGGCTCAAATTCAAATCCATCTTTTACCAAAACAGCCTGGATTTTAAGAGAGGGAGAGAATACATGCTTGCCCTCTGACTAGCACATCTCTACATGTTTCTGAGACAATCCTGAGTTATGCTGAGTTTCTTTGGTAGCACCATCTTTATTAAAACAACCTGTCCCTTCTTAGGTTTCTATTTCTAAGTTTACTGAGGTGCAGCATTCATTTTGGTGCATTAGTCCAAATTAACAAACAGAATTTGCAGATACAATTTTTGATTGAATATCTCCCTGGGTAGACTGGTTAAGCTCTATATCCATGAAAGAGAAATGACCGGCATTCTCAGTAGCTGGGCTGGAAATCGTGCAATCACATGTCTCGAGTACAATTTGGTTAGAGAACTACAATTAATTAACTAAGATGTTTGGAATAAGATTCACCAACAACTTTAATGATATTAAAGCAGTCTTTATGAGAAATTAGTTTAAAACTGTTGTAGACTATTGCAACAGCAGCATAGGCAGATCCTTTCTTGTGAAGAAACAATTGTGATTTTTTATAAATATTCCCTTGTAATACAGTCTGTGGCAGGAAAAGCAAACTGTCATAAAACTGAATAAAAAGAATAACAGTATTGACAACAATTACAAAGTAAACTGCACTGATTAATAAGAAAAAGTAGGTTCCAGATCTTAGGCTATAAAGAATTAGTCATCAAACCAGTCTGCAAGAGGAGGACGTCTGGACTTGATATAAATTTAAATTAGCATCTGGATCCATAAACATCCTGAGGAGACAAAAATAATGCTTTTAGCAGTGTAAAGACCAGGTAAATCTCTAAATAGAGAGTAGAGACACATAGACCATGGGAAAGAAAGCAATAATATGGATCACCACCCCAAGCTAATCTTCATAATTTTGGCAGGGTTTCTTTATGACATCTGTAGAAGATCATTAAAAGAAGATTCTTTTTTAAGATCTGTGTTTAGTGTTGACTATACACGCACAAAAAAAAAAAAAATTTTGATCCAATCTGACTTCACCATTTTGAAAGCAAATAAGACATTTATCAGAAAGAAACCCTGCATCTGACTGCAGGCTCGCAGGCTCGCAGGTTTGCATTGTCAGGAGCAGCAAGAGTAGGCACAGCCAGAGCTGTGACAAGGCAGCAGGCAGGGCAGTGACCTCACCAAGGGCACCCTCTCACAGTGCCCAAACATGTAGAGCAGGAGCAGTGACAGCAAAACAGGGTCAACCAAGAGTCCAGGTTTCCAGACAAGTCTGTAAAGATGAGTAGGTCAGAGGTGAAGGTGGGAAGTCAAGTCACTGGGTCAGGATCAGCAAGAGTTGTACCAGGCACAGGCACATTCATGGTACCACTCTGGCAATGGCCTAAGTTTGACTGCCATCTCAAGTGAAAGGAAAGAGGTGGCCAAGGAGTCTCCTCACAGCTCTGTCACACTTCTTTCTCCAGGGCAGCCCCATTTCAGGCTATCTGAGATGTAGGAACCAGTGCTGGTCTTGTTCATAGTCAGCTGAGACCCCAGGGAGCAGGGAAGTGGACCGTTCCTTCTGCTCCCTGGCACCTCGTCTGTAAAACCAGGGCAATCCAGGCATCCTTGTGGCAGGAAACATTTTGCCACCAAGCACATATTGAGAAGTTGGCATTAGGAGCCCATTTTGACATCTAGAACAAGGATACAGGTCTGTTTCTCATTTTTTGGTTTTGTGTTGTTTTGGGTTTGTTTGTTTGTTTGTTTTGTTGTTTTGGGGTTGGTTTTTTTTTGTTGGTTGGTTGGTTGGTTGGTGGTGGGGCTTTTTTTTGGGTTTTTTTGTTTGTTTGTTGTTTTTTGGGGTTTTTGGGGTGGGGTTTTGTGGGGTTTTTTGTGGTTTGTTTTTCAGTAGGAATGGACAAGAAGAAGGAATTGAAGCTCTAGAGTCCCAGAGCAGAGGATGAACTTTCCTGGTAAATCCCTTTTGTCTGTAGGCACAGGAGGTAACAGTGCGTCTACATGATGTAACTATGCCACCACCTACTGAGTTTGCATTTTGTCAACATGTTTTTTTTCAGAATAACAAATGGGACTGGCTTGTAACAGCGACTGGCACAAGCTTATCAGGAGGCTGCAGGGCAGCAGGTACAAACGAAACTTCTCTTGATTTCTCAGTAGTATTTCTCAATCCTGGCACTACAGATAGTTCTGTGACAAATCTGTGATGATTTTGCATGACAATGGAACAACAGTTACAAGTTCAAAACAGACTGAACAAGCAGGACAGGAGTTAACACTTTCAGTTATGGCTTTCCATTTCTTTAGCAGTATTTTTACCTGTCCCTAAGATGGTGGTTTAACACCCTGGAGTGGTGAGAGGTG